CTGGGGGTGCTGGCGCTGAGGAGGGTGTTCGTCCTGCGGCTCCTCGCGTGGTCTGTCCCGGCGGGCCTGGGGGTGCCGCTGGGCCTGGGGAGGGTTCTCGCTCTGGGGGTGTTGGTTCTGGGGGTGCTGTTGTTGAGTTTTCTCCAAGAGGTCGTTGTGCCCCTTCCGGTTCGAGGGTGGAGCACCAGCCGCCGCCGCAGCTGCCGCAGTCGTCGCCGCCGGTCTCCGCTCTTCGACTGCTCGGCCTTCCCTCCCTTGACCGCTCGCCTGTGTCTCCCGCACCTCCTCCTCACCTTCCTATCTACAGCCCTGTGTTCCCACCCCCGGGCTCTTCTCCGGCCCGTCTTCCTCCTCGTTCCCCTCTTGTGGCCCGTCTGTCTCCTGACCCTGCACATCATACATTTTTTGACGGGCTAAATTAATTCGTCTGATCGTCTAGATAAGCCATAATATTTCGTCTGAAAGTACAGACTAGGTGTAGACTTTCGTCTAAGTATTCAGATAGCGCGGATTTTTTCGTATGATACATTCCTCGTCTCCCCATCTCCCCCCCCCCCCCCCCCCCCCCCTCTTCCCCCCTCTGTCCCCCACAACCAAGAGTCTTTCCGGCCAAGTCCCCGAGTGCCAGATACATTCCTCCCACACCCCTACACAACCTCCCTATTTTGTTAGTTTTTCCGGCATAGTCCTCCAGACCAGAGATATTCCTCCACATACCCCTCGCAACAATGACAATTTGGCGAAGTCCCTCATACCTGAGACGTTGCTCTACACACCAAACACAACCCTGAAAATTCGATGAAGACCCTTTTTGCGAGATGCATTCCCCCACACACCCCTCAAGCCATGTTTTTCCGATGAAGTCCCTCACAGCTAGACCATGAAATTTTAGCTCAAGAGTCAAGACCCTCCCACTCCCTCCCCCCCGTATATCTGTAATGGCGGTGCGTGTGAGGGTTGCTTGTGTGTGACACGTGACGTTATGTGCGACTATCTCACCGCCAAATAGAGCAAGGCCCTGGTACTGTAGGGAGATACAGTGCGCATGCCCTGGTCTCTCTCCCCAGGCTCGCGCGCTACAGTGCCGTAATTTTTTCACGCAAAACGGTTCAATGCGGTTCCGCGTGGTCTGACACAGGGTTGTGACTATCAATGTTCAGGCCCTGTTTTCAAACTTCTTAGGCGCGCCTTTTTTAGACAGGCGTGCATCCGTACAGTACGATTTTGACGCAAGCAGATTCGAAGCAGCTGAGAATTGTGATACTGAAACAATTTTAGCTTGACAAGGAACCTTCGAATGCGCTCGTAGGCGGGTCCAAGTCTGGGAAAATCGAAGTCTGAATTTGCAAGTGGCGAGGTTTCTCGCAATTTTTTCGTCTGAATGTTCAGATTTGCGTTACAAAATCATCTGAAATCTCGGACTCCTTGTATTTTTTCGTCAGATGGTCAGACGAAACTTTGGAACCCCGTCTGATATTCAGACAGCCCTAATTCCTAGCTGAAATCCTGGTATATAGACTAGGGTGTTGTACCCTCTAAGGCACAAACCAGTATAGTATACAGTAACGACCTAAGTTACATTTGACACACCCCCTAGACTATATAGGGGCAGTGCCTGACAAGCAAACAAGCAGCTCAGGGCAGCACTACTAGTCCAGCCTCTGAGGCAAGGGTCTAAAGACCGGTCAGAAAGAAGGACAGACAAGGCAAGAGCTAGACCAGGGCGGCACTACTAGTCCAGCCACTGGGAGAGGCCACAAGGCCAGTCTGGGTAATATATTGAAAGGTCTATACACAATCAAGGCCCTAGCAAATGTGAGGCTACAGGAGCAAGACAAAGCTGGACACAGTTACGCTGATGATCTTTAGGCGCAAGCGCCTTCGTAAAGATATTAGTTGTGTTGGCACCGGAGGCCAAGTGTACTATGCAGGCCTGGCGGCGCTGCTGTAGCTCATGCAGATAGAAGTACCGCAGCTGAATGTGCTTTGCTCTGCCCTCGAGTCGCGGCTCCTGATACAGGAGGATCATGGCCTTGTTGTCAGCGTACAGGACTAGGGCAGAGCTAGGCTGCTCACCTACACTGACGGAAAGTATTGTCCACATGTTTGTGACTCAGAGGAATTTTGCCATTTTAGGGGGTCATGGACATTAAGCCTTAATCTTCTGGTGTGCCTAGTGTATGTAGGTTGGGGTAAGGCTCTACGCCCATACCTTACATCACACAAGTATAATGATGTTTACAACAAATACCAGAAAATAACAATCTTGGTAGATGTGGACAATTATTGCCAGGCGCAAGCAGCAAGTTACATCAACCCCAAACTAGTACCTAATCCACCGCCCTTTCGCCTTAATTACCGCCCTCACCCTCCTGGGCATGCTTTCCACCAGGTGGGTGCACACATCCGCCGGGATCTTCTCCCATTCCTCCTGCACCCGCTCCCAAAGGTCCAGCATACCAGTGGGAGGCTTATAAGGCTTGGCCAGCTGCCTCTTGAGATGAGCCCATAAATGCTCCATTGGGTTGAGGTCGGGTGAGGAAGACGGCCACTCTAGCACCCCAAAATCTTGCTCTCTAAGCCAAACCTGTACGATACGCGACTACTGCTTCGGGTCGTTGTCGTGCTGGAAGATAGTTTCCGAGGGTGTAAGCAGGTAAAGCTCAATCGTACTATTGGGATCGTCCTACAGTATACTCAGCGAGAGCAGTCCGTCCATCCTACCATGTGTTTTGCTCATGAAACCCGCTCCCTTTTACGACATGCAGTCATAAATAATCAAGCAACCGCCCCCATGTTTGACGGTCTGCTTGATTTGGTGTCTTTGGAGGGCAGTCCCTTCATGAACGCAGGTGTCACAGGATCGAATGACTCGAGGAAAGATTGCACTATCGATTGATACAAGGTGCTTTTATACTTCCAGAGTACATCAGGTAACCAGGTTTATCTTATCCCAAGGGAATAGACCCTTCTAGAATATAGAATCACCCGGCGTATAGCCACGCGAGGCTATTGGCTTTAAGGGATTACGACAGGATTACGCCAAATAGCGCACCAGTACATCCCAAGTATGGTCAGTGATATAATTATAATAGTAGGATAAACCAAAGGTTAATGGAAAATGGAGAATAGGAAACCAAATGAGATGAGATAAAAGGAGGAATGAAAATAGCAAGGAAAGAGAAAAAGGAACAAGTGGTGTAACGGGGTCATACTCTCACACTCCCCCCCCTCAAAGCTGGGTGGTAGAAGTAACACCCTGCTTGACAAGGTAGTCATGCAGAGGACGACGGGCGTTACCCATGTTGGTCTCAGGAACCCAACTGTCCTCAGAAGGATCATAACCCTTCCAACGGATGAGAAGCTCCACGGTGTCATTCCGACGACGGCGGTGTGCAAGCACGGATTCGACCTCGTAGTTGGGTTCATTCTGGACGAGGACGGGTGGCGGCGGAGGTGGTTGGCGTCCGACGAAGATCGTGTTCGGATCCCGATAGGGCTTCAGAAGTTGGACATGGAAGGCATTGTGAATCTTCCAGGTAGCTGGCACGTGCAAGCGGAAGGTAACAGGAGTGACCTGTGCTTCAACGAGGAAAGGCCCGCAGAAGCGAGGTCATAGTTTAGATGGGAGATGGCTAATGTCAAGGTTGCAGGTGTCAAGGAGCACCTGGTCTCCCACGGCAATGGTGTGGTCGTTGCGATGGCGATCGGCCTGGCGCTGTTGTTGCTGCTGCATGTCGAGGAGGTGCTTGTGGGTGCGATCCCAAAGCTGATGCATGGTTGTGATGAAATCATGTGCAGGTTGGACTGTAGCGGATGTGGTCAGTTTTTGTGGCGTCCGTAATAGAGGAAGAACGGCGTCTTTCCAGTAGCGGCGTGAGTGGCATTGTTGTAGGCAAACTCCAGGACGGGCAGATGCAAGTCCCATTTGGAGATGTCGTCTTTGCAGGCTGCTCGGTTGAGGCGCTCGGTCTGTCCATTTGTCTGTGGATGGTAGGCGGATGACATGGCGAGTTTGGTCCCGAGAAGAGACATAAGTTCCTTCCAGAACTGGCTAGTGAACTTGGGGTCTCGGTCGGAGATGAGTGTGGTTGGAATGCCATGATGTGAGATGATGTAACGAACGAAGAGTTGTGCTGTCTCCTCAGTGCGTGCCGTCGTGTGTGTCGGGATGAAGTGTCCCATTTTGGAGAACTTGTCGATGACGACAAGGATTGCGTCATGGCCGCTGGTGGTAGGTGGTAACCCGATGATGAAGTCCAGGCTAACCACTTGCCATGGTTGTTCTGGGACAGGAAGAGGCTGCAGTAGTCCCGCCTTTTTCTGCTTGCTGCTCTTCATCCGCTGACATGTATCACACGAGGTGACAAAATTCTGAACATCCTCTACCAAGTGGGGCCAGTAGTAGTGTTTTGCGATACCGGTGAGTGTCTTGTTGCTACCGAAGTGTCCGGCATATAGGACGTCATGGTATTGTTCGAGTAGTAACAGGCGCAAAGGAGGGTAATTGGGTACCCAGATTTTTGTTGATCCTTTCCAGTACGCGATGTCATTGTCCCACTGTAGCAGATGTCGTTTTTCTGCCAAGGTAGTTTCGGGGTCGATGGCGTACCCGTGTGTGAAGATTCCCTTGAGTAGTGGATTCCTTCCTTTGATCTGAATAGCAGCAACGTGTGTAGGCCAGCTGACGGTGTCTGCTTTGTTTTTTTGGCCGGGCTTGTACACGATGTCGTAGTGGAAGTGTGTCTCGAGGAAGTCGATCCACCGGACCTGCCGCCTGGAAAGGTTGGGTTGTGTCTTCAAGTATTTCAGGTTGCAGTGGTCAGTGTAGAAGGTTGTTCTTCGTCCTTCGAGATAACTTCTCCACGCTTTGAAGGCGATGACGATGGCAAGGGCCTCTTTGTCGTGTTTAAGAAAGTTTAGTTCTGCCCCATGTAGTTTCTTACTTAGGTAGGCGATTTGTTGCAGTCCATTCTTCTGGTCTTTCATTAAGACTGCTCCCACTGCCTGGTCGCTGGCGTCAGCTTCGATTACGTAGGCGCATTCGGGATCTGGCAAGATGAGTACCGGTGCGGACGTGAGTGCTTGTTTTTAGCTGCTCCACGGCTTCCTGGTGCTTCGATTCCCATTTGTAGGGCGTGTTCTTCTTCAGCAAATTCGTGAGTGGTGCTGCAAGTTTCGCATACTGTGGCACGAACCTGTTGTAATAATTCGCAAAGCCTAGGAACTGCTGCAACTCCTTCATGTTCTCCAGTGTCTTCCACGTACATACGGCTTCGATTTTCTTGGGGTCGACGTGAACTCCTTGAGCGCTCACCATGTGTCCTAGGAACTGGACCTTTTCAAGGGCGAATTCGCTCTTGGATAGTTTGACGTAGAACCGTTCTCGTCGAAGAATTTCGAAGACGCATCGCAGGTGTTCGACGTGCTGCTTCATATGGCGTGAGTAGATGAGGATGTCGTCTAGGTACACCACCACGCACTCGTCCAAAAGTGGTCGTAGAATGTGGTTCATTTCGGCTTGGAACGTTGCCGGTGCGTTGGTGAGTCCGAACGGCATTACCGAATACTTGTATGATCCATACCAAGTTCGGAAAGCCGTTTTGTGGATAGAGTTGTCCGCCATCCGTATCTGCTAGTATCCGGACTGCAGATCCAGTTTGGAAAATACCGTAGCTCCCCGAAGCTGGTCAAGCAGGTCATCGATTCGTGGTATTGGATATTTTTTTTTTATGGACTACTTGTTAAGAGCTCGGTAGTTGATGCACATGCGCAGGCTTCCGTCCGGTTTCAGGGTGAAGAATACTAGGGCACCGTATGGCGAAGTGGATGGTCGGATGAGTCCTTTGGCTAGGAGATACTCGATCTGTTTTTTCATGTCGGTCAGCGCCGTAGGGCTGAGCCGATATGGTGCTCGGAAGGTCGGCTTCAAACCCGGTTCCTCCACGATCTCGTGTTGATGCGTTCGGTATGGCGGTAGCTCGTTCGGAAGATCGTCAGGAAGAATGTCTTGGAACTCCCTCAGTAAGTCTTTGATTTTTTCTGGAGGTTCCGAGGTTTTCTCTTTGTCGATTTCCACCTCTGTTGCTATCGCCAGGAACCCGATGTCGGTTCGTTTCACGTCCTTCTCGAATCTGGCGAGTGTCTCCACTGGGATATCTCCTGTATCGTCCCAGTTGGGTAGCTGGACTCTCCTTCCATTGTTGTAGATACTTGCGATGCGGTATACCCAGTCGATCTCGGGGTTGAATTTCTTGAGGAAGTCTCGCCTGAAGATCAGGTCAAGCCCTTTTATGTTGGTGATGGGGAGAGCAGGTTTCCAGCGCAGTGGACCGATTTGTAGGTGTAGCACTGCTTCGCCGTACACTGGTAACTTGCTGCCGTCCACCATCGTTGCAGAAAACCCTCATGGCTTGTACTCGACTCGAAGTCGGTCGATGGTTGTCTTGTCGCAGATGGTGTGCGATGCTCTGCTGTCCACGAGTGCTTGGAGGCGTCGTCCTTTGCAGATGACCTCGAGCACGAGGGGTAGGCATTGCTCGGAGTACCCAAAGATGGTTTCATTGATTCGGTGATAGGGTACATTCCAATATTCCGTACACACCTTTTTGTTGCTATCTAATCCTGAGCTGGCAGCTGGCCGAGGCTACTTGGAGAACGGCTCTTCTCCAGGGCCCGGAGTTTCCTTGACAACTGTGCGCGTCATTGATGCCGAAGAACTAGCTGCATCTGTAGGAGGAGTTCGGGGTTTGTGCAGCTTCTTGTAGACCCCCAGCTTCCTCTTGAGCTGCTTCAGCTCCACCGACGTCTTCCCTGGGGAACGGGTAGTCGTTGTGGGCTGGTGTCGGGAGAGGACGTTGACTCCGTGGAAAGGTCGGCTTCTTTCCACACTCCTTAATTTGGTCCCCAAGTTCCCCGGTACCGGTACGATTTCCATAATTTTCTGTTTCTTTTGGAGTCCCTCCCGAAATTTCTCCAAGGCTCTAGGTCCTCGAAAATCATAAGTTTTCATTATAGCATCTTTATAAGATAACTTTAACGAATCCTTATAATTTCTTGGGTCTTCAAGGAGTTTCCCCGTCTTGGCAGAGTCCTTTTTCGCGGAGTTAGAGTTTTCCTCGGCGATTTCCTCTGGCAAAGATTGGTTATGGGGTGGAGATTTTTCCCCATCATTTTCTCCTGTTCGCGTCAAATCAGCTGCGTCGAAGTTGTTTTTTCCGGAATCCCGCGGCCGATTTCGGATATTTTCTTTTTCGCCAGCTAGATTCGCGATCACTGGCGACTCCCGTTTTTTGTCTTCTGATTGGCCGAAGGAATTCCGCCACTATTGCGTTCCCGATACTCTATGCGTGCGGCTTTCAGTTTGTTGCAGTCGAAGATTCGATGACCCGGCACCCCCGCAAAAATCACACGTGTAGTTGGTGTTTTTCGGACGTGGCCGCACCTCGAACCTGTCGACTTCCATTGGGTCGGCGAACGTGGGGTGAGCCGAGCGGTCGCCTTGTCGCGTACTGCCGACGTGCGTCCGTCGTGTCCCGGCGTTGACCATGTCGAAGCGTTTTGCGGCCGAAACGACGTCACTGTAGCTCGCGTAGTTTGTCGCTGCCACTTGTCATTTGACTTCGGTCTTCAGCCCGGCGAGGTACGATTGTACTTTTTCCCCCTGGTCAGGTCAGGAATTCGGTTATAAAATTCCTCCATCTGCTGCGTGTATTGCGCTACACTCCTGAACTGTTGATGGCGATGAATTTTTTCCCGGGCAAGGAAACCCGAATTTATCGGCTCGAAACGTTTCAGCAGGTCGGTGCGGAACTGCTGCCACGTGGCTTCGCCGTGGATGAAGGTGCTGTTACCGCCGATCCACTCGAGTGCCTGCCCTCGCATCAGTGTCGCCGCAAGTCGTACGCATTGACCGTCCCAGGCTAGCGAGCTCCATCCGATGGCTGCGAAGTAGATCTCCATGCCGGCGATCCATTTGCGGACGTCGGAGTCTCGATCGCCCGGATCGAACGGCTCAGGTGGGTGCAGTTTCGGAGCCTCAAGAAACTGATGAGACTGCTGCGTCGTCGCCGTTGTCGTTTCGTGTTGCGCTCCGGTGAGTTGAGTTACTCGCTCGAACTCGTTTCGCCACGCTTCGCGATCTGCTCGCATCTCCTCCTGAAGGGCTGCGAAGCGCGCGAAGAGCTGCTGGGTAACTTCGGCGTTATCGACGTTCGCCATCCTGTTCAAAACACGCGCGGAGGGGGTAATTTGAAAAAACGCGGAGCTGGTGCTTACCAGAATAGGCGTTGAATTGGTCGCCCCGGGCGGTTTTTCGAGGCAGGATCCCCCGCTGCTGCCGCTTAGCTGAGCGCGTTCGAGTGAGAAAAGCTCTGATTACCAAGTGTCACAGGATCGAATGACTTGAGGAAAGATTGCACTATCGATTGCTACAAGGTGCTTTAATACTTCCAGAGTACATCAGGTAACCAGGTTTATCTTATCCAAAGGGAATAGACCCTTCTAGAACATAGAATCACCCGGCGTATAGCCACGCGAGGCTATGGGCTTTAAGGGATTACGGCAGGATTACGCCAGATAGCGCACCAGTACATCCCAAGCCTGGTCGGTGATAAAATTATAATAGTAGGATAAACCAAAGGTTAATGGAAAATGGAGAATAGGAAACCAAATGAGATGAGATAAAAGGAGGAATGAAAATAGGTAGGAAAGAGAAGAAGGAACAAGTGGTGTAATGGGGTCGTACTCTTACAGCAGGCATATGAGAGTCCGTCGGATGCAAGACGCATGATCTTGGTCTGATCCGAACAGATCACTCGCTTCTAGTCATCAACCGTCCAGTCTGCGTGGGCACACGCCCATTCCAGCCTATCGCGTATGTTTTTCCGAGAGTTTCGCGGCTTCTTGGGATGCTTGATTGCGACACGCTCCCATTCAAAGCGTTACGCAATGTCTTAGGATGCAACGTGATGCCGTGCTGCTTCTCAACGATTTTCGCCACGTGAGCGGAGATTTCTGCCTGCTTGCTGGTAATCGACCGAACTATGCCGCGGCGAACTCTCTCTGTCACTAAGCGAGGGCGACCGGCCGAGGGCATCGTAGCACGTCATCCGGCTAGACTCTACAATCGCCTTGATGGACCGAACTCTTCCCTATGCCTAGCTGTTGAGTGATTCAACGATTGCTATACCCGCTCTGCAACAAGGGAATGATCTATGCGTAGAGCGCCTCATCTAACGGTTTCATGACGGCCTAATCGTCGCAGCGGTCCTAGCCTATCTCCTGACTACTCGATAGTCGCGAGGGCAAGTAAGAAGAAATAGCGAGCTTAGGAAATAGATCTACTACGCTGCTTGGCTTGAACTGTCCGGATGCACCTACTCGAACGAAATCTTGTCCTCGGTAAAAAATCGACCCCTATAAAACTGAAACCAACATCCGTCACATACAGTACAGTACTACTTTACATCCAACCCTGAAATTTGATTCGTAACTAAACAAAGAAGGCAGTACGAGAAATGTTTTAAGGCAATAATCCGGGCAATAATTTCCGCCAGTGTAAGTCAGTGAGCAAGAAGGTCAGCCAGCGGAGCTCCTGTGCCGCCATGGCACCGGCGTAGATCTCGGCCTCACAGCTGGACTGGGCAACAGACGAGGAGCGAGTAGCTCTCCACGAGACAGCACCTGAACCAAGGCTGAAGTAGTAGCCCTGTGAGGACCTAAGAAGCTCGGCGCCGTCTGCCCACGAAGCGTCTGTGTGCCCAGTAAGGACCATTGGCCTGCGCCCTCCAAGCACTAACCCCATGCCCGATGTACTTGCAAGATAACGCAATACCCTCTTAGCGGCAGACCAGTGCTGAGGACTGTGTCTGCCAGTGGCCACAAAGCGAGCCAGGATGCTGAGAGGGTATGCGAGATCAGGGCAAGTGCAAGTCATCAAGTAAATGAGGCAACCCACCAACTCGGCGTAAGGACCACTGAAGGCCGAACCTCTGAAGGACCTGGCGCACCAAGTGTTACTGAGTGAGGGTGATGGTGCGCGCTGCTCTTTCCCTGGAGATCTGCAAGCCAAGGTAATGGCGCAGTTCTCCAAGGTCAGTGCAAGTGTGTCTCTTCAGCAGCACTGCCTTCACCAGGGCCAGTGCGACCCTGTCTGCGAAGGCCACTGGCAGTGCGACTAGGTCATCTACGTAAACAATGATGTAGAACGGAGTCTGGCCAGCACGAATGAAGAGCGAGGGGTCTGCAGAGGACGGAAAGAACTGCAGGTCAGCAAGGGCAGTACGCAGTGTGTCGTGCCACTCACGAGGAACCTGTCGCAGGCCGTACATGGGGCGCCGCAGGAGCCACTGGGTGCCAGGAGGGAAGGCACCATTGAAACCCTCAGGGCGGCGCAGGTAGACCTGCTCGTGTAGACTGCCCTGAAAAAATGCGGTAGAGAAGTCGAGGGAGTGAAGCTCGTAGTAACGCTGAGCTGCTACGTGTAGCAGCACCCGAAGAGTAGTCATCTTCGGCGTCGGAGCGAAGGTCTGAAAGAAGTCCACCCCCTCACGCTGGCTGAAGCCTCTAGCCCCGTAGCCCGCCTTGACCACTGGCGGCTCTCCAGATGGGCGCTTCACCTTGAAGAGCCAGCGGCCAT